TCTTTTCTGACAAGTGAAAAGGGGCTTGGAAAATAAAAAATAGAGTTAAAGTTAACTTTCCCCTTTCTATGTTAAATGTAGTATCTAAATCCTGGCACTATTTTATTTCTGGGAGGATGATTCCAATGAATCATCATAGTGAAGTGACCAAGGATAGAGTCATCCTGAACTACTGTATTCAACAAGTGATGGATATAAATGTAGGCTCTACCATTTATATGAACATTCAATTTATTGCTCTAGGAGAGACCACTAGTGGATTGGCACACCCTACTCTGATGTACACACTTTGTGAGCATGCAAGAGTTGATTTCAAACCTAATGAGGAGAGGATTGAGGCTCAGAGACTCATTGGGCATGCTACCATCAAGACTTATGAGTCCCATGTTGATTGGAGATCTGGAAGACAGGCCAGGGATATTCCTTCTACTTCTAGAACACATAGTGAGCCTACTTCAAGTGACCACAACAACAGGGAGATTTGAACCAGATGATGATTCAACAGGGAGATAATTTGAGGATGGATCATAGGATGCAGAATATGGAGGCCAGAAATGCTCACACTGATGATCTGATTCACCAAAAATTTTAGTATGATGCTGCTTATGATGATGCTTTAATGAGATACCTGAGGGGTGACCATACAGTTCAGTTCCCTATTCACCCTACTTATACTCCATATCAGGAGCAGAAGTTAGATGTCGATGATAAAGAAGATGATGACTGGTGATCGTTTTATTTTTTTGTTTGTATGTGTTTGTACTGTATGATTGTATTATTTTTGTTATGTTTTTGATGAGACTCTGTTGTTATGTTATGTGAAAATATAATGTGAAAAACTGTTTTCATTTTTAGAATTTAGTTTAGTTCTATTGTTATTTTCAGCACTTTGTTATGTATTGCTTTCTTTTACCCTTTATTTTTAAAGTTCTTCATGTAAAAATATTTTAAAAAATGTAAGTTTAGGGGAAGAAGAAATATTATTATTATAAACGAACTTAATTTTATTTATCCACACTTAACTTTATTTTCAAAATATTCAATTTAACATGACCTTTGGTATTAGGAGTTAACTTTGGATAACTATATTTATGTTTCTAAATATGATTTTTTAGAGGTATTATTATTGTAGTATTATGGTATTATTACAGTTTTCTTTTCGCTGCATTTTGTGTATTACTTTGGTATGCTGGATGTGATTCTGGTGTTAATTTTGTTTTCTTCTGGTATTATTTAACAGACAATTCTGGTGTTAATTTCGTGATTTATATTTCATAACTTAAGGTACTATGGTCTTATTTAGGTTTATTGGTTGTATTATTTAAAAGTTCTACATTTTAATTAAGAAATATTCTCGTATTATTCACGTGATGATTGATTTTATTACAACATTGATTAATTTATAAACCAAAAGAAAATAAAAATAAAAATGAAAAAAGAAAAAGAAAAGAAAAAGAAAAAGAAAAAGAAAAGATGTGAGGAGAAGCTTGAGGAGATGCCTAATTAAAAATGGGCTTCACTTGAATCAACTTAAGGAAATAGACATTGACACATTTTCTAAACTTTTTATTTGAATGTTAACTTAATTATTAATAAAGTTCTATGAAGTTCTTTTTCATATGAATTTCCTAAGTGACTTTAATATAACAAATTGTATTTTTTTTCTTGCTTGGAACAGATAGAGGATCAGAAATCTTAGACTTAATTACGAATATCCTTACACCTTTAGTATTAACTGGAGTTATTTTGAATTTTTCTTAAGTTAAAACTATTATATTTAGAAAACTAAAATATGGAAGTCTAAAAGTTAAATTCTTTACCATAAGTCATATTTTTTATGTAGTAGAGAAGTTACTTGAGGACATGTAACATGTAAGTTTGGGGGACTTTGATACACCGAAAATATATGCATTTTTAGACCCATATTTTATACTCATTTTTGGTGATATTGCACTTTAATGGAAGGTATTTTGATGTTTTCTTGCAGGTTGTTGACTTTTAGGGATTAAAAAACAAAAGAAAGCAAAAAGGATGAAATTTAGATCCAAAATTGAGTTTTTGAAGAAATGCTCAGCGCCGACAACGCCCAAGGTCAGCGCCGACGGTGCAGAAAAACTTAACGCTAGAGATTTATACTCAAAGCCGATAGTGCCAGACCAGCGCCGATGGCGCCAAAAGCGTTGCAGATTCCGTTTCTAGAAGGTTCGATGTATTTGGACGAATTTTTGAAGAGTTTTCTGAGGCACCTCTTGGATAACCAACCTTGAGCTCTATTTGGGGTCAAATTTCATCAGAAAATGGGCTCCTCTACGTTTTTCGCTCCTCTACGTTCATTTTTCACTACACATCATTCCATTCCACTACCATATTGGAGTCAATTAGTGAGTTTGCTTTCATAGTTTAGAGTTTTTGTGGTGAGATTTAGTGTGAAACTTTCCGTAAGAGTATTGGAGAAGGAGAAAAGTGAGAATTTTTTTCTCGCATTTCTAAGGAAATGCTACAAAGGATTTGCTTTGAGAAAGAGTTCCACATAAGTTTGTTTGTTTATTTAATATTGTATGAACTTTATTTTATGTATGAAATTTGTCTTTTTTCATATCTTTCTCATGAAGTCTGAGTAGTTCCCTCTATCTTTCTCTCTACTCTGAGATATGGTGAAATGAAGAGATAAAATGGAATATGGTGAAATGAAGAGATAAAATGAATGTACCATAATTAAAATATAAAATAAATTGTGAAAATTTTTAAACTCCGAACTTAATTTACTTTTGAGTCTGGTCAATTGATTTGTTAAAATATGTTGTGAAACATATGATCCGGGAAATGGAGTATGAGTTCTACAACAGAGTGAGGATCACATTTGATTTTATGAAGGAGAAATTCGTTCATGAAATTAAGTGCAAATAAATTGGGAAATATTCTTTGTTGGGTATCCTCCTAGCCTAGCCATGGATTTATGGACTAAACCTAGGATTAGCCAATGACTTTCTATGCACTGTATCAGGGTAGAGAATTAAAATTGCTTCTATATGGCATAATACATATTAAAAATATTTATCTCATCTCATTTCACAAGAATTTCATTGTAGTGGGAAGGGTGCTTTTTCACATAAGAAATCTTCATTACCTAAATATAGTTCTTAGATTAGTATTTAATATTTAAAAGTTACATTTCCGTTTTTGCTAATAGTTAAGTAATTTAGTTTGGTTAAAATCTCAACATTTGAAATTAGTGACAGTGATTTCGTTTGATTTTCTCTAAACTTCATATTAAAATTTATCATTGTTAATTTACACCTTTGCCGTTGAATTGATATTTGGGGCTTAAATAGAAAGTCCATTTTTACTTGATAACGATACGTATACTTGCGTAGAATCTCATTATTAATTGCCTATAATTATATATAACTGTAGTGGTGTCAACTTCATAAATCCTTACATACAAAAATTCGGGATCAATATTCTATTTCCATCAACTAAGCTTGAAGAAAATATGAACGCTAATTGAATTTGCTTGATTGATATAACTCAGCTCAAATTGTGATTTATTGTAACCTAGTACAATAAATGGAAGTAGACAGTGACTGACAAGTTTTGTTTTTAAATATTATAGTTCCCGCGCAAAACATTGAAATCATGACCTGCTCTTGCAAGGCAAGTTAACTTTCATTAAACACTCGACCTTGTATGTTTATCCTTCTCATGAGGCGCAGTTAGAATACTGGTGGGATAAGTGTAGATCACTGTGTTTTTTAATGGTTAAAAAGATTCAATATTGTAAAAAGCGTTATGGAATATATTCTATAAAGACAGCATAAGCTTAAAAAAAAGGAAATTTTACATAAATATACCACAAAATTCTTATGTATTTACATCTATCACTGAAAGTTTTACATTTACACATAACACCTTAGTGTCATAAAACTACAACAACAACAAAGCCTTAATCCCACTACGTGGGGTCGACTATATGAATCATTTTTCTCTATTGTGTCCCATTTAGTTTCATATTTTCATTTAGTTCTAATAAATTAAGATCATTTTTTATACAATAAGCCCAAGTCTTCCTAGGTCTACCTATGTCTTTCTTAACATAAGTCGAATCTAGAACATCTACTCTCCTAATCGGATCATCAGATGGTTGACGCTTAATGTGACCAAACCATCTAAGACGACTTGCTCTAATTTTGTATGTCACAGGAGCTACATCAACCCTATCACGGATGTAATCATTTCGCATTTTGTCTTTAAGTGTAAAGTCACTCATCCAATTAATCATTCTCATCTCGGGAACACTTAACTTAGTATTATGCTTCTCTTTTAAAGGCAAAAATCTCAGGAACACCTTAGTGTCATAAAATTACGTAAGAAAAAATATATTTTTACTTATAAAAAGATAATGATGATATTTCTTTCAGAAATTAAGAATTTGAGCTCTATGCATATAAAATATGAAAGTTTAGATTTAATTTATGTGTCATGTACGCAAATGCCCAAAAAAATGAGATATCAAAAGAAATTTTGGCTTAGTAACAGAATTGGAGGCTAATTTTATAACTAATAATAAAAGCTATGTGCAGTCCCATTAATTGGTTGGTAGGAAGGGAAAGTGAGCCTTCGGATTTTTATGTTGCTGCTAATGCACTGCTGAATCCCAACTTTTTGACAAAGCAACAGATTTCAAAAGTTAATAACCCAAAGTGATGCAGACCCACTTTAGTGGATCTGGGGCCCTCATATGAGCTTGCCGGTGCTCGGCTGCCCTACTTGGATGCATATTTGTCACCTCTAAAGCCAAGGCATTAAATAGGCACGCACCATGGAATGATAAAATCATAAGATTATTATTTTTCTGTTTTGAAGAATACAAAAATAAAATCAATCCAGTATTAAATACTACAAATTGTTAATTGAAAAATAAAAACAAAATGACAACTATTGGTGCCAACAATACATTCAAAACATTATTGAGATTGAAAGAAACGGACCATGGCCACCTGTTAGTGCCAAGCAATACATCCAAAACATTTATTAAGATTGAAATAAACAGATTATTACATGTTGGATGTTTGAACTAAGAAAATTAAAATAGATTCTCTCCATGCAAACGAAGGACAAAAAGGATGAGCCATTTATTGTAACCAATCACTACTGCAATGGGTAGCTTTACAAACCAGTTAAATGGACTGCTCATGAAATGAATACTACAGACCATCGGGTAGCTTTATAAACCAGTTGCCAACTTTACACAACAAGATCTTCGAACCGTCTTCGGCGAAAGCGCAAGTTCGTCTTCGTCATTAAGAACTCTGAGTCAAAATAAAACCATAAAAAAACAAGGAATAACTAAACTTTTATACAATGGCACAAGCATCATACTCACCAAAACACAGCTAGGGTTATCCTCTGTCGACTTCATGGTAAATCACTGAAATCAAGCAACAAAATGCATTGAAGTAGGTTTGTTAGTCTCGCTTTCACAGATCATCAGGGTTACGAACTCCTTGCAATTTGATTGGACTACTTACTGCCCCTCATTTTACTGAAACATCAAGCTCATGTCCAGAGAGAATGTTAAGGTTGTAAACCTTAGCTGATAGATGGTTTGTCAGCATTAGCAAGCATTTCACAACACACTTCAGTGAGTAGATATAACCGAAGTCAATCTTCGAACAAGTAATTCCATTTTTAAGTCATGATTCCAAGCAGTTGTTGATAGGGTTAGGCTATCCCAAGACACTCAGAAACAAGTTCATTCAATAGATCATCCATAAGCATTCTCTCAACCTCTCTTCCAACCATGTCAACATGATCATCTAAATATAACCACCTAGTATCAAGTACCTTCTCCAGTGGTTTTCCTCGACTGAGCTCCTTCCGTTGCTCAACTAGACGCCACCACGACTCATCAACCAATCTCCCATGACCAACAGAAGTGCTCCTCTTCAACTTAACCCATGGACATAAATCCATGCATGGTGAAAGGACCTCAGCCAGAATAGAGTTTATATGATCAAACAGCAGTTTTCTCTCTGATCTTGTCCAAAAATTAGCCATATTGTACTCATTCTCAAGTTTGTCAAATACATCTGGGAATACCGGATTATCCGGTGAGTAGCATGAATCAAAAAACTTATTTTGGGTGGCAGCATATATTCCTGAGACAGTAAGTATGTCTAGCAAGTACAAGAAATCCCTTTCATCTCCCTTTTTTAATGACTTCAAAATTTTCCTGCTAGCCTTATCATTAAAAATAAGAGATTTCGATTGCTCGTCACCCGAATCAACAGTTTCAAACTCAAGAAAGTTAAGTTGTCTTTGAAGATCTACAAAAATTAATAGATGATTTTAAGTAATATGAGCGTAAAGTTCACAAATTTTTTTTTTCAAGACAAACAAGCATCAAGTGTTCGGATATACTCTGAAGACCTGCACCGATTCTTTCCAAGATTTGTGGAGTTGATTTCCCATCTTCTGATGGAAGCTCAAGAACAGAAACAGGACTACACCGTCCTGCAACTTTGGGTGATATGAGAGCCTCAGATTCTCTTACGGCATCCAGGGTTGATTCTACCAGAGGAAAATCAATCGAAGCTACCTGTAACAGAAAAGCATAAATATTAGGGGAAGAAAACTGTTCTTTATATTTTAATAAACCCAGATCAACAGAGGCACTCGTTTTCCAGGTATTTCGAACTTTAGAATAACAGTTCCACTGCCAAACAATTCTGACAAACAAACAACATTAACGCAAGCCAAAAACAATTTCTACTTCAAATAACATCACTAGCAGAATGATATTGACTTCTAAAATAAGAAAATAATCTTTACGGCTTGTCCCTTATGTCATTTACCAGGCATTACGAATGGAAAGCATCTAATGACATGAATGATTTCTAAACCAGTTTAACATTTTAAATAAGATAGTTCCAAAGCAAATTGAATCAAAAAAGTTCCAGGCTGAAAAATGAAATGGTGAATTACAGTTCATATGCCTAAAAGTTTGGACGGTATGCATCAGCTCTAACAAATACATCACACACGAGCATGAAAATACACCATATGAAGCTTATCAACCAGTGTTCATGGCTTAAAAAACTAATTATTCTGTTCTGATAAATAGACAGCAAGCAAGCATGCAAATAAACAGCAAATGAGGCAATTGAATCCTCCAAAATTGATCTGAGCATTGAGCAGTAACATTAAGTTGCAACCATTGATCTCTCACTTCTTGATTATCGAAACAAATAAACTATAAAATGATTTTGGTAAAAGAAAAGGAAGAATTATTTATCATAAATCAAACAAACTAAGCATAGATACAACACCAGGATTTAGCATCACTGGGGTATTGGAACCGTTGATCCTCTCTAGAACCATTGAGAACAATAAGAATGGTGTTGGCTGTTACTTAAGTATCCATGCACAAGCACGTCTTAGTTAAATCATTTAACTAAGGAAATCTCACTTCTCAATTACTCAATGCTCTCTTAATTATTAATAGATATATGCCCCATTTATTGCATTGCACTGCTCCATTTATTGAACTGATAATGATCAGATGTTTAAGTCACCACTACATCTTAATTGTAATTGCTACAGCTCAAACATATCCATTCTCATAGGGCCTTTCAATCATGCCACCTTATCTGACTAGATTGGAGGCGTCAAAATGATAGAGTCAAGAACAGAAACTAGAAAGCAGGATAAAAAGGTAAACTTATCCCTTTTAGAGAAATATTTGTTTTGCCAATCCAGCTCTTGATTCCTATTAATTTCAATTCTGCCCAACGTACTGCCAAGCAGGTCAATAATCAAGTTCAATCTATTAGAAGAAAGTTGCATAGACATGGTACAAAAAAAACTACTATTTTTTGCAAATAAAAGTGGAGACATAAAAGAAGTCAGAGGTCTTCAATCTTGCCAATCTAATTGACATCTTATGTAGATGATGGTGGAAACCGCAAAGAATGAGAAAACTGGCAGTCATTTGTTGGTTTAAGCAAAATAAAATATTAAAACCTCATCTCGCCGGGTTAAAACAATCCCTTACAAAAACAAATCCTCATGGAAACACCGACTAAACGGAGTACTTTTCGCAATAGAGCAACTGTTTAGTAGGAGAACAGTACTGATGCTCTCTACTGTTTGATAGTCCTTTGATTAGTTCAGAGTTGGAGAGTTACCAATGGGGTGTCGTACAATAGTGGCCCTCCAAGAAAACCTTCTCATTGACCTCGTCTTTTTTGCCTTTAAAATCAACATACTGACTCCTCGAGTAAAAGAGTCTGGAGCTGGGCCACTCTACTCATTTTGTGAAAGATTTTCTATATATTCCAAAAGGAAGACCAGCTCTCAGCAATGGAAAATCAAAGCATCAATTGAAAAAACACCAGACTTGGCTGTTAACAGAAATTTTCAGCATGTTCAATGAGAAGCACCTAATGAATTGGACATGAGACTTGTTTTTTGCTTTTCTACTCAAGAATCTAAAGCCACCACTTCATCGACCATCCTTTGTCTAAATTGAAATGTAAACACTTGGAAATGAAACCATTTACAAAAGTGCTCGCTTTAAACCAGTGGGTTTGAATCACAAAATCCAAGCACCTTCGAACTATATTCAGATATAGAACTAATATGGAGCTCTGTTAACAAAAGAAAAGAATAACGAAGCTGGCTATTTGTCCAAACTATTACCTCTACTTTTCATCCAATACAGAAGGCCATTTGAGCTCCATTATCACTTGAATTAGGTAGTTTTGGGGCCATTCTACTTGCATGTTGCTCACATGAGTGTTTTGTCTAAGAAATGAGTGATGCCACTTGTTGACAACAAAGTGTCCATCCTATATTTGAATGTGCACAAAAGAAAAAAGAAAATTCAAATAATGAGAAAGTAATGATGAACCAATATATGACACCAAAAATAAAGATGACCAAATCATACACGAATATTGTGATTCAGCTAAAAAGACCAAGAATCCCGCAATTTATACAGCACTGATAACTTCAAAAATCCAAGAGAAATATTAGCTTTGTAGCAGCATATTTCATAATTTTACCCCCTATTGCAAAAAATTGGTCACCATTTTTTTCTGAAAAACGTGAAACATATAGTTGGTAAAGAAATAGTTAAAATGTTGAGCTTAAATATGAAAAGCATCGACAAGAACATAAGATTTATTGATTTAAGAAAGGTGTTCAGTAAAGATTTCCATTGATAAATATTGTTAAGAAAATTGCTATGATGATTTACTCTCACATAAGGATGTCAAATAATATTAGGAAAATCATGTCAAATCATAATGGTAGAAAAATATTTATTCTCTTGTGCTTAATAGAAACAAATATATCTTGATTTTGGCCACTAAAAGGTATTCAACTAAAGGGATAACGAACACTAAAAGAAATTAATCTTCTATCATTTAAACAACTAAATAAGGCAAGCAAAAGCATGGATGTAAAAACAAGATCAGACAAGTCAGTCAGATAAATTTAACTATGAAACGGTCCTCTAGTCAGTCCGATCCAAGTTAAAAACATTTTCACACAGAACTGGCTAAAACCAATGAATGAATCGGTAAGGCAATCCAATTTTTTCAGAGCTACCGAATTCTAAAATGATTTTTTTTTGTTTCTTTTTTGCTTTTGATTAGATTGAATGACTAAAAAATCAACTTTTAAAATCAATTGAGGATGCCTAGATCCGTGCCTAGATTCAACAAGCAAAAGCATAACCTCAAAGCTTAAGCCTCAGTCCTTCGGGCGAGACTACGCCTGCCTCCAGGCGTTTGAAGCACACTTCAGTTTGTTAGTTTTAATTAACTTATGAATGACAGCAACAGTTAGGGTTCATTTTAGAGCATTATCTCAAGCGCAGCCTCCGCTTCTCCACTTTTAGCGTCGATAAGACCAACATTCACTTCGAGCGTCATCCCGAGCCAGATTGAGCGTCACTGCTTCAGCTGCATCTCTATAGTTAAAGCCCCATGCAAGCCTCGCAACATCGAGCGTCGAAGTCCCGTATAAAGTCTTGCAACATTCTTGCTTTGGCTTATCTCTATTGAGCGCCAAAGTTCTATCCAAACCTCGCAACATTGAGCGTCAAAGCCCGATCTAAGTCTGGCAACATACCTATTGCCTTTATCGTCTTTATTTATAGTGATTATCCTGCAAGCTCCCCACTAGTTTCTCAGGTTTAATTTAAATTTATTACTCTATATTTCATTCCTCTTATATGCCTCAATTACCCTTCCAGTAGCTATTAATTTGTATTTTTTACAGTAACGGTAAACATGAGAATTGTCTGGTATGCATGTAAATGGCTCATTTTTTGACAGTAACAGTAAACATAAGAATTGTATGGAATTTCATCCCTCCTCAACTGTAAATAGACACTAATAAAATTGTAAGATTAACATTTTTGGCTTGTCAAATTTATGAATTTTGTTTATTTTGAAATTTTCAATTTTTTTTCTTTTTTTTTAAGACTTACGTCTCGCATTTCTAAGAAAAAATGCCTCATATCTAAATTTGACTATTAAAAAATTGCTAAAAATAAAATATTTAGAATAAAGATAGAATAAATAAATAAAACATCACGTCCCAAAATTTTGAGTTGAAGTTATATTCAAAATATTCAAAAATAAAATATGCTAAATAAAAATATTGCATATTAAATTAATGATATCATTATTATACCATTTAAATCTTATTAAAATAATGTTAATATTTATTACATCATCCAATTTTAACTCAATTGAAACATTAAATATTGAACATCTTCTTCTAGTCTAATGTTCAGTTCAATTTTCATAATCTCATATAAAAGTAAACCTTACGTATTTAATCTTATTCCATATGAAAAAAAGGACTAGTTCAAACATGTGCCTAAGAGCGCACCATAACATTTAAAAGAGTCTATGGATGAGACATCTAATAAACTACCTAATGATTTACCACCCATATGTGACATGCAAAATCATATTGATGTAGTGCCCAAGAAAATGTTATCAACTCTCCATCATTATCGTATGAGTCTAATGGAACATGTTCATTTACAATGACAAGTCAAATAAATTGGTTAAAAAGGACTTAATTCAAGAAAGTTTCAACTCTTCTATCATACCCGCCCTACTTAATCATAAGTAGGAGACATAACACACGCGAATGCTCAAGTAATCAATAAAATATTAATTTACATTCCTTAGACTTGACAATATGCCGACATTTTGCTCGAAAAAGAGTTTTCAAAAATTGATCTTTGAAAATAGATATAATTCAGCTTTAAAAAACACTCAAAAGCTTGTAGTGCAATTCATTTTCTTTGTCACTTTTTTGGAGTTATGGGAAAGGAATATGAACATAGAGTTTCAACAGAAAACAAGGATAAGGTCATAGAAATTGTCTCCAGGTAGCTGTCGGCACTAAAAAGAAGAAAGTTAAAAGAAAGTTTGGGGGGTCGCCCGTAAAAAGCTGTCGGTCGCCGGAATCGAAATCCCGTCGCCCGCTTCGGAAAGACGTTTTAATTTATGTATATATATGTATATAATTTTAGAAAAATATGAAATCAAACTGACCTCATATTTTTCATAGTTTAAATGAAAAAGCACTCTACCTCAAATATTGTATCTACTCCGAGGGATAAACACAAGACTTGAGGGTGAGACTCGATCAAATAAACTAAGAAAACATATGACATCCGTTTGGGTCTGCGAAACCGTTTTATTTGCCGACAAGTTCCCCTATTTAATACAAATAATTAAATAGGGTTTATTTTA